TCTTGAACTGGAACAAAAACAGTCCAATACATTACCGAAGTTAAAGGCACAGAAATTACAGTTGTTTCCTGACAAAAAATAATAATAATAATGTTTCTGTATTTTCAGGCTGTTCATGACAAATGGCCTGAGATGGATAGATTACCCCAAAATTGTACTCAAGTTATTATTAAAATAAACAAATATTGCACCACAGTTGCACAATATTTTCACAATCATTGAGCGGCAGTTGCACATGTCAAAAAAAAACTTGCAATATTTCCTCAGTAATGTGCAACAGTGATGTAATCATTGTGTTTGCTTAATGCATATTTTGGCCCAGATTTTTTTCTGGAGTTGATGCAAACATGTTCATTCAGTGGGATTCCAAATGAAACTTTGCATAATCACTTACAATTTGGTGTTTTCCCCACAGCTCCTGGAGCACCCTGTCATGTCAAGATGAAGTTATCTCTGACCTTCTCTGAACTTCATCATCATCATCCTCAAAGCAAAGATGGAGTCCTCTGTGCTCTTTGCTGGCATGAAACCATCTTGCTGCTCACAAATAATCACCTCAGATCCAAATCTTTCCCGTGCTGTTCTGGTGTCAGACCAGACTGTTTGCTCCCATCTGCCCGAGGCATCTGAAGTCTCGCACACTGAACTTCTTGGCATAAGGTAGTCTCTGTGGATGACTTTACCAATCCCCAAATGCAAGCTGTAGACCCTCCGAACTCTTTGGGAAAACAAGACAATATGTGCAGAATTATGCCACTTTTAGTCGTTGCACTACATTTCAGTATGAGTGACAGGTCTACAGGGGCTGCAACATCTGCACAGAGGTGACAAGACATTTAGCTGCTGCTAAGTGAAACACCTCAGACATATGTTCCTTTTACATCTGCTGATAATGTGGACAGACAGGCAGATTTAAAAAGCAGACAGCGACAGCTGGTAGATCTACACTTTCATGTCTTTACAGCCTAACATTTACTCAACTGACTTCAACTGTTTTCTCACATTTGTCACGTCTTTGGCTTTTTGAGAGTTTCCACATTAACATCTTRCTCTGCTCCTGGCCTAGGTTAGAAAACTCAAACTAAAGTTCATTTTAAATGTTTTAAACAGTCACCTTTCAATGGGAGAGTTGGCAGTTTGATTTCCTTCCATTCATCCATCCCTTGATCCCTTCAGGGTCACTGGTGCGCATGTCCAGCAGTCACTGTGCGAGGGGCATTGTACACCCTGGACAGGTTGCAAGTCCATCACAGACTGCCATTCAGTGACCTGTCGAAGTGCCCTTGGGCAGTGGTTTACAGGTTCATTCAGATTAGCCTGACAACCTGACATAACTGGAGTGGAGGAAAAGTAGAGATAGGATTTGAGGAATCGTGGTGCCACAAAACAAGAGTTGAGTGACTACAGGGCCGAGCGTGTAGGCTGAACCACCAGTGGCCCACCAAGGAAACCCCCGGGAGTCTCGTACACCAGTCCGTCCTCGCAACCATCTAAGTGAGAACAGATTTCTTCATGTATTGCAGAGTATAAATCATCATTAACTCTGAGTGCTAATCATGATGGTTTTCAAAGCTTTACCAATAACTAACAGAGCAACTTTTAAAATCCAACTTATTAAAAAAACATTCTCAGAAAGTAACCATTAAATACTACTGGCAGTTTCGGAATCAATCCCATTCAAAATGGCCACCACAGGTTATATAATTTAGTGAAGTCATAATGATTATGACTTAGTCAATTTATGTATTTTAGACAGATTCAGAACAAACAAATTCTTTATCCTGACTGTGTCCAAATTCAGGGGCTGAGTCCTTTAAAAGGACCCGGTCTAGGTGAGTCAGGTCCTTGGTAGACCATGAAGACCAGAAAAAAGTGGCTGTGAATTTAGATGGTCTAGCCTTCTGCTTTATTCCAGTCCTTACCCTGGTGTATGTCGTGCCACCTATATAAGCCAATATAAATTGAAATGAACAAACTATCAACATAGTATCATAAAACAACAAAATTGGCTTAAAGGTAATATTTAAATAACTAATGGACCCACCTTACATGCATGTTTATTTCGCTATACCAGCTCGTTAGATGTTTATACAAATTACAAAAGCATTAACAACACAACTGCTTGAAACTTTTAATTTTATACTGCTAGGTTTTTATTTAAATCTGCACTACTTTCTCTCACTTCGTCCATCATTACTAGCAGAAAAAAAATCTCCAGTCGGCCCATAATGCATTGTGGGATATGATGGTTCGAGAAAGATCCATCAAACAAGTCCTTCAAATCAGGGCAAAGGAAGGACGCATTTGTCGTCTGTGTCAGAGGAGTCTTCAAATTTGGACAGCATCTGGCTCTGCGCTGATGTAAGTGGCCGACAAATTCCACCTTCGGAGGAACCAGCCTCTGGATTTGGACACAGCTCCTGTATCTAACAGTGCCTATAGTCTTTTGTTCCTGAACAACAACAAAAAGTTTCTTGGCACTCATGCCTACAAAGATGTAGACTCAGTGTGTGTTTGTACCACAGGAGAAGTGTTTGTGTTGACAAACTTCACCTTTCTGACTAAATATATGTTTGTTGCTGAAAGGAAAAATTGTGTTTGATTCAGTCCAACAGCTCAGATTTCTTTTATCTGAGCTGAGCTGTTTCTCCTCTTCCTCTTTTTAAAATCACTTTAACTCAACCAAAAGAAAAAGGAAAAAGAAAAAGAAAGGACTATTAGAAGGTGTTCAACACTGGAAGCCTGAATATTTGCAGGAAACCCAATCCAGTTCTCAGTAAAAGGTTTATTTTTAGATCTAAAGCTACATCTCCTCAAGAGCCTGTGTGGCCCTGAGTCGAATCAGAACACYAACACAAAGGCTTCCAACTCCCGCCTATGTGTTCAAACTCATGTTTTTTTATAAATACCCTGGTCAAACCCCTGGGGGCGGTACTTCTTACTGGTACATCGTGAGGAGATCAAGTCTTTGTTTATTCTGCAGAAGGACACACATGTACACACATAGTGATTCTCTTGTCATTTATCACAAAATACAAGATATAAGACTYCATCTAAAATCAGTCACAAAATTTTCTTCGAAACCAAACATTTTTTGTGTTTTGTCCCACTGTCAGTCATTAGTAAAGGTTTTTTTTTTTTTTGGTATTGGTGAGTGGAAATGGGTAAAAACCCATGTAAGCTGGACCTCATAAATGGGCCCATTACTCTCTCCAAAGAGACACTGGTCTTTATTCAAACCTTTACGTTCCTCATATGAAGAACACAAGGTTAGYATCCATAAATGGTGTTATTTTCCTTTGACCACTCAGAGCCAGGCAGTGGCCTAAGTAGTGCAAAGAGGTCTCTAATTCAATACCACAGGCATCACACWGACCATTGTCATGGAGMACCATCACCATTTTGTGGTGGTTGAGCAGATTGTGCTCAGTTAGGACTCCAACCAATGTACTTAGAGTTAGAGGATTGAGTGTTGACATCTAATCCAGGCCTGTAGGGCAGTCCWACAGACTGTTGTTGAGATACCTACAACAGGCTCTGGTCCTTTGAAGTGAGCCTGACTGCCAGCTTTTYRAAGMTAGCCAGCTCTCTGGTTACCATTAATGCTAGTAAAGAGGGTACCACTGAATCTGTACCAGACAYTCTGTATTATTGGTTTGCAGTAAGATCAATGAGGCAAAAGTTTAGATGCATTTATCTCCTTTAAAATCTACATTACACCAAACACTGAGCAATCTAAAATAATTCATACAATTACAGCCCTAATGTTCCTTGTGTCAGTTCTAACCACCGTTTCACTCTTTAACAGTCTTTAAAGAAACTGCAACAAATATACAAAATGCCAACAACACCAACAAAAACAAAGAAATACATCACTAATACACAGAAAAAATACAAATAATGGGAAGAAATACTTTTAGAAAAGCACCAGAAGTACTGTATGACCTCAGCAGTGCTAGCATGAGTTCTGTTGRCTTATTCTTGGCTCAGTGTGACAGAAATTGATCAACTTTATATATAGAGAGAGGGAGTTTGAGCTGCCAAATTTACATGACCAATATTTTTGTTTCAAACCTTCTGGAGATGAAACTATGTATGTTACAGCTTCAGATATTTAAAGAGGATATGTGGCCATTTGTTCTTGCAGCCATTTATATCAACATGCAGGCACACAACAGTATGAATGAGMTTTCGATTATGGTAAAAAACATAATTCACATGTGACGTTCATGTGTTTTTTTTTTCAAACAACTCAGTTCAGCAATTCTCCTCATTGTGTTGCTGATATATGAAAAATATCAATCTATCAAGATGAGGTGAGGATTAAACAAGCTAATTTATTTTTGTCTTTTTTTCTCCTCCTTTTTTTGTTTTTTTAATTTGGTTTTCATGCTTTAATGCAGTAAATCCCATCCCAGCTGTTCCTATATACTAATCAGCCCACCCTGGTCTAATTCATATTCTGTGTTAGGCGTTCATTTTTAATCAGTCAGGTCTGTGTGTCTCMCTACTGAACCTACTGGTTTGGTTTTTGATAAATCTTCTCGTTACCTGCTGCTCTCTTCAACCACCAACACCGTTATTAAAATTAGCAAAAAATGATAAAAATGGGAAAACATACTGTATATTATTGAAAGCTTAAAAAATGTCTGAAAAGTTAATTTTTATGAGGAAAGAATCTCATTTATGTGATTCAAACCATACAAACTTTACCAAAAAACCAAAAGTCCTAGCTGTGATGTCCCAAACAAGCTGAACCTTTTGATTTATGGATGGGTGAAAAAGCTGAAAGTGTGATAAAGCTTTTGTACAGAAGAAACTCTAAAGTAGAAAATTAATAGAAATGCTGAGTCAGTGTTGCCTGCCACAACATAGACCAACTTTTACCTGTAGGTTTAATCAGCTGATGATGACATGAAACATTTATTAGATAATACAAACCAAGGCAATAATAATATGACTTCAGTGTTTCTGTGCTGATAATCAGCAGAGGAACTGACCGGGGCACAGCGCCGTGCAGCTGATCTTCTGCACCGACATGCCTTCACAGAAGGTCCCACCGTTCAGCGGGGCAGGATTAGTGCAGGTTCGAGACCGCTTCTGGACCCCCCGCCCACATGGCACATTACAGGGTGACCACTTCGTCCACAGAGACCAGCCGCCGTTGACTGCAGGGAGTCCAACAAAGGTAGAGAAGAAAAGGAAGTTCTATATAAATATGTAAACATATCAGGTTTTTCTTTGTGCACAGATTACTACAGTAATAAGGGCTGCAGCTATTACTGACCATGCAGGCTCTGTAAGGCAACGATGCAGAACTGCAGGAGCAGATTGGGGGATTTACAGCCTCCCTTTCCATAACTGTCCATTCAGTGTTCTCTGTTCTTGAATTAAGATAAAGACTCAGGACTGTGGGAAGCAACGGGAACCATTTGGCAGAAATGCCATTTCTAAAAGCGGTATAGTTTCATACAGCCTGACAGCTTCGAATCGACTACTTGGAGTGTGACTGAAGTACTTTACTCAATGATCGCTGGGTGTTACGTGTTTGGAAGCTTAATGTTGAYCTCCTATCATAAACCAACATTTCTGCAAGGCTTCAGGCAAGTAAATAATTAAGAAGCAACACTCCCTTTAAATGAGATTAAGACACAGCGCCTTGTTTTCTTTCATAAAGTACACATTGATTTTAAATAAGAGGCAGTAAATGGACTCTTTGAATAATACATTCATTGAAATAAAGAGGGAACAGTGCTGCTCAGTGGAAACACTCAGATGTTTCCTGATCACTGCTGTAAAGGGTTGATGTGGAATGACGTGCTTCATACCGTAGATGATCACAGTGGCTGTGGAGCTGCGTCTCTTTGCTACGATGTTGCTGGCCAGACATGTGTAGTTGCCCGAGTCGGACAGACGCGCCTCGCTGATGATGAGGTTGTGGTCGGCTCGGGTGTTAATGTTGTCATCGGGCAGGGAGCCAACCAGCTCCTCGTTTTTCAGCCACTCCACCTGCATGAGCAGGTAAATAAAGAGCAATGAGACATCAAACTGAAAGAGCAAAGTTAGGAAACAATTTTCTTTGATTCCAGCAGGAAGTCAGGACTTCCTTTGCAACAATCTGAGAAGAAGCTAAAGCTGCTGTTAGCAGGAACGGCTTTACAGAGTCCTGTAGTTTGGAGTAAACATGCCCTTTGTCCAGGGTTAGATCTTCAGTGAGTAAATATGTTTTATTATTAGTTCTAGTATTATTCTACTCAAACCTAATATTACTATAATATTTAAGGAGCTCTCTTATTATTAGGAACATTTAATTATTTGATAATTTCAGTAGTTCACACTAAGAATAAATGAATGAATAAATAAATAAATAAATAAATAAATAAATAAATAATGTGTGTAAGGAACATTTTAGATTTATCTAAAGGCGTATTGGGAAATATTCTGTTTGTTTTTATTTTGACCTTTTTATTCTTGTAAAGCTGCCAAAACAATGACACTTATTAAATGATTACAACAATATTCTTTTGTTTTATAATTGCCATAAAACAAATATGAAATGAGTATTTTAAAATGAAATAACGAGTGTATTTTTTTAACTAAAGGCCCTTAAATAAAAAATAAAAGTCATTTAAGTTTGATATTTTAGTTTTCAGGTTAAACTATCTGCAAAAGTCTTTATTGTGAATTTTGTCATAAAACTCCAAAAATGCCAGGCTCTTGGAAAAATCCAAGTAAAGGCATAAAACAGCAGAGAAGAAGCTGAAACTGCAGGTTTTTGTTTTGACATGCTCACACATTGTCTGATTCAAATCTTTTATGGATTTTAGGAAGCCCCCTGGGTCGCTGTGTGGACCCCTCCTGCTGACTGGTTACGATGAGGCGGCACAGCCACCGTGTCTGACTCTGTTCATCAGTCAGAAGAATTGCTGGAACTAATTATCAGCACCTGAAAAAATCCCTCAGCTCCCCACCTCCTTTATTCATTCATTTTTACAGTGGTGTTTATATGTTGTTGTTCCAGTCACTGAACCAGAATTTCTTTTTTTTCTTTGTTGTTGTTGATGATGAGTACAGAGCAATAACCTCTAGATCTCTCCCCATCCCCCCTCATCTCAGAGCAAACATAAAGAAGAAGAACCTAAACTCTCCTTTACAATTAAAAGGAGGTTTTCAGCGAGGSTTTTATCAGAGGTTAGAGGAGCGAGGGATGGAGTCTAATCTCTTCTGATTAAAGTCTGAATGGATGGAAGGAGATGGAGGTTCATCTGTACACCTCCACCTCTCRTCTCTGTCCCCAACTGTCCCGTTTCTGCTGATTTATTTCAGTCTTGAGAAATCTGTGGCTTTAAAGAAACCATTACCATGTGTCACCATCACAGAGGGCTTGGGGGGTGGGGGCTTCAACAGTGCCTAGGTTGTGATGAAACAGAAGGAGACAGAGGGACATAAAGAGAGGGACAGTGAGACAGTGCATGTGAGAAATGAACGACCTAATTGGCACATTTGTTTCAATTAGGATGAGGTCAACAGTGTCAGCTGTGACAGAGGAGTTTTTGTGGAGGGGGGCTCCCTTCCTGTGATTTCATTACCCAGACCTCCCCTGAAGGTCACCCCCACCCCCAATGCCCTGCACAGCAGTCAGGTCCKCTTATCTACTTCCGCTCACAGCTCATCCTGATGGCATTTGCTGATGATTAGATGCTGAGAAATGTAGCAGCTGAGAGGTAATTAGAGGACAGGAGAGCAGCTGACATAAAGAGGAGGACAGCTCTGATCAAGACCTCACAGCCCGTCTCCTCCATCCCAATTCTAACGGTCATTRAAGGTCAAGCTGAACAAAAGTTGCTTTCTTTGTGCTGGGAGGAGGGTTATTCTGCTGAGTCATGCTTAGGCCACGTCCAACTCTGCTGCCTGGTGTGAAACCAGCACAAGCTGAAGAACTTTTTAATTGCAGCGTGTCTCATCAACACAGTTACGAGGATTAAGCTCCTCCATCAAGTGGGCACCCAGGGGACCAGGGTAGCCCAGCGGGGGCCGACGGAGCTGCAGATCAGAAGCTGCGCTGCAACACAAGGAGCTAATCCACTCAACGGATCCTCTGTTACTAATCAGCTGAACAAGTGAGAAGACTCATACTCGCTGTGCACACACACATGCACACACGCACGCACGCACACACACACACACACACACACACACACACACACACACACACACACACACACACACACACACACA